AATGCTTAATTTTGCAGTGATCACCTTCCTCCTTTTCATTTTCAGACCAGACTGCAACCTCTATAGGTGTGTTTGCTTGTTTTGAGTGGGGATGAAAGAAAAGGAGTCATGCCGCATATCTGATTTATTAAATCGCATTTTTTCTGTTTATACATGAGTAGAACTACCTTGTTCTCTGAAAAAAATAAAATTTCTCGCATTTTTATCTGTGCTTTGCAGTCAAACTTCCTTGTGTATTGGACAAGAAATCTTATTTTCTTGAAAACAAAATCTTTGTTTCTAGCCTTCTGTAATAGGTAAATATAACAGTGTAAGATGAGTGACAGTGTATTTCTCAAGTTATTTTTTGGAATGTGACAAAACGGAAGTGTCATAGCGTGATAAGGAGCAAACATATGATTGCTTGATAGAAAGCAAAAAATGCAGAATTGCATATATTTTCTCCTTTGTCAGCACCATATGTTAGTGAAAAGTTCTTATAATTGTTAACTTCTAAACCATCTTCAATTTAGCCAAGATTGAACTGTTATCACGTTTGTCATAAAAGTATTCTGAGATCAATGTCATATGACTCATTCAAGTATTTGACCTTTCGAATTAGCAAGCCATAGTTGACAGAAACACAAAGGTTGAGGATAAAAAGAAATTACTATATAGAGTACTTCTTCTGCATCTTTTCGTTTCCTTTTCTCTCCAGCTGTTCTATCTATGCCGTGCTGGCAATTGAACACTTTCCTTCCCAAAATTAGGAAAGGCACACCAGTAAAAAACGAATTTTTGCTCCTTAAATATCTCATGCATCTTCCCCCAGTATTTTGTGACTTCTGACCGAGGAAGGAGGTGTAAGCATTAAATTAACCCGAATGATTCCACAATTGTGGTATCATCCAAGCCATGCCAGAGGACTTGAACTAGATAAACTAGTGAGAATGCACAATAGCGATAGCAAAGCTTTGTAATGCTAAAGAGCTATATCAATATATATATGTGTTCCCGAAACCTTTGACAGCTTTAAAGAAAGAAAACTTCGTCGTCAATCCTGTTTCAAATTCCGCAATAAGTTTATGCGCCTCATCAACAGAATTTACGTATCCTAAATTATCTGCATGTCTACCATCAATGGTTCGCGACTTGAAATTCTCGCTATGCTGTTTCTGTTTGTTCCTCAAGAATCATGGGATTTACAGCTTTTGATGTTCGGCTACATCACTTGCGGATTTCCGAGAATCTTCGGTTATGTTTTGCAAGTCATTAAATATTCCATCTCAGTCCCTCTCGACCGAGGTGGTTTTGGTGGATGGAATCTAATGCTGACCGTTTGAAACATGGTCGATTTACAACGCTAAATATTCCGAATGTGAACATTTTATACTCCTTGTGTGTCCTTTGTGGTTTCTGGTGATTTCTGCCGTGAGACGGCTGGGAAATGTAAAAAGTTTAAAAACATACGTGTTTCGCTTTGGAGCTTTTTGCCATGAACGCGACCCCGGGTAGGCGGGTTACCCCACCTTGAGACGTCTACATGGCAAATTGTCACCGGGCAACCCGCCAAGACGGGTCTGCCCTGTTATCATGTGAACATGATCAAGAAAAAAGAAGAAAGTATATGGACAGGCGGGTTACCTCACCTACCTGGGGTCCCCAACTCCATGTGTAAGGGCCTGTTTACATATGTGTCCGAGAATTACGTACTCAATTTCTTTACTTGCAATGGTTCTAATTTCTATCTTCTTTTGTAACACCTTAGTTTATTGTTGATAAAATAAGTTTGCCACCGTAAAGAGTTTCCAAGCTGACGTTTCAAGCGTCAGCTCTTCGTCATTCGCTTTGACTAAGGGCTAACGCTCGAAACGTCAGCTTTGAAAATTCATGGCGGCCTATTTACGTTACCAACTCAGTTGATAAAACCAAATTATCTTGTTGTACTCTCCCACCAATGCAGCACCACAGTTTCTTTATAACCTTAACCCCTATATACTGGTTGCTTACGAGATTGCCTGTTTAGGGAGAGTTGACTGTTTTCTATAAGTTATCATGTCATTTCCATGATAGGACAGAATCTCCGCTGGCCCAGTTGTACGGCACTTCCACCATGGAACACCATCATTTTGATCACTGCATTATGATCTTAAATTCAGAGGTAAGTGCACTGTTTCTGTGGCTGAAAAGGTTTGTGAGAGCTGGTATTCAGCAGTATGGAGATTAACTGCAGTGAAGTCAATATTTGAGGAATTTGTAATGGTTATCATCATCATCATCATCATCATCACTATCATTATTATTATGATTATTGTCATTGTTATTATTCTTATTATCATCATTATGATGGATTGTCAACTCCTAAGCCAACATGTGTTTACTGTGACCCTTAAGGCAGCCGACTTCCGTTCAACTGCCGGCCGACGCTTTGATAGGATATAATTGTTTATCATACCAATGCGTCATTTTAGATCACACTTTTTCACTGCTTTAAGGTAGTTTATTTAATCGTTTTGAAGGGAAACAATATATTCGAGGAGTTGTCACCAGATGATTATCGAGCAACAATCAAGATTTTGGAGCACGCCATCTTGTCCACAGACCTTGCGCTGTATTTCCAGTAAGTAAACTTTATTAAGCTACGTTTGTTTCATCGTTTTCATCATCTTAGGGCTGGACATGAAATGCTGTCGAGCAGCTTGATGAATACTTCACAATTAATTTGTTTTGGTTGTTAACTGACCATCTGTTTTGCGTGATTTGTTATAAACATAAAGATAAAGAATAGTATTCAATTTGCAAAACAACTCAATCTACTTCGACGGACACTGTAAAAGCTGCAATGAATCCCTGGTTCGGCCAATGGTTATCACACAAAATAATTAATGGCTTTGTTTGACATGGGAACTGTCACAGGAACGTGCTACACCATTTCTGGTTCTAAGTCGAGTTACATCTATTGTGATATTACTGGTTGCCATGAGTTAGATGAAATCTCGAAATTCGGTTTACCCACGAACTCTAGTGTAGCCCTCTTTCTTTCACTCGTCGGAATCTACAACGGTTTGCTGAGCATGTCACTAGTACTGATTTAAAGTCGGATATCTTGCAGGAAAAGAGGCAATTTTGAGCAGATTGTACATTCAGACTCAACTGACTGGACTACACAATCCAACCTTGAAATTTTAAGAGCAATGATGATGACAGCTTGTGATGTGGCAGCCATCACTAAGCCGTGGAACGTCCAACAGCAGGTCTGAATTATCCTTCTAAGATGTGTTCAATGAGAGAGACAAAGGCAAAGGTTCACACCGTACTTATGTTTGTCGCATAGGATCGAAAAAGCGTGTTGGTTGTTTCACCAACAGTTTCATTGCTCTCTGCCTTTTTTTCGCGAGTCTTGCTGTGATACGTGGGCTCTCGAGAAAAAATAACTGTTAGAGCTGGCTTGAGACTTTTCTTTCGCGCGGGATCCACACCAAAACATGGTTCGAGAGTAGCCGCTGACCTGATCCTCGAATTCGAATACAATTCTAGGTTTTAAAATGGGTCGCCTTTGAATAGAATTTGTGAAGGCTTTTTTAAATCGTAAATCTTTAAACAGGTAGCTGAGCTAGTTGCAAGCGAGTTTTTCGAACAAGGTGACCTGGAGAGATTACAACTCAATTCTGAACCTATTGTAAGTATCATGTAACCTATTAATTTTTAAGGAAGATGCAATCTTCACGATGTGAACCGTCGATCTGTCTGTAGATGACCATCACAAAATTATGCTGTGAGGTGTAAACCGTAAATCTGTGAACGGTAGATCTGCTTTTATATGACCATCACAAAATTATGCTTTGAAGTGTCGTACAATTCAATTAAATTGCATGGCAAGGTAGTCCTGAGGTAAAGCGTTTGATTGGTTCTCATTTGGTCGGACCCTTTCCACGGAGACGGACATTAGGCGTGTATTTCGTTCGCGAAAGCCGGGAAATTTAAAGCAAGTTTTTTCCGAGTGCCGTATAATGAACTACTTACAAACCTCGTTTGCTCGAGTCGCACTAGGGAATATTGGCCCTCGGTATTTTTTGGACGGACCTCTCTACGCTCGCTCCGTACTGCCACGACTTCAAGTCAATATTCCTCAGTACGGCTCTCACGCTCGTTTAGTAAGAACTTAATATTTCTTGAATCAGGTATTTTCTCCGCAGACAAGTGATCTATTTTATCATTTTTAAAGTTAAATAAAATTGTTTTCTGTGGCCCTTTGAGGTTCTGAACTAGGTATGAAATTTATTTTCTCAGCAATCATATGAACCACATTCTGTACAGTTTCATATAATATTACTTACCTGCATTTATGGTGTCGTTATAGCCAATGATGGATAGGAAAAAGAAAGATGAGCTCCCAAAGATGCAAGTTGGTTTTATCGACTTCATCTGTATGCCGGTGTATCAGGTAGGGTTCACTGGTGCTTTTTGTAAAGGGTAAACTGTTTAGTTGATCTGCCTTGAACTTAAATTAATGTCGTGATGTCATCTGGCCTAGCTTTATAATGCGCTCTTTTCCCGCAGTTATTTTATGACTTGGAACCTTGTCTGAAACCTCTTTATGATGGATGTGTTAACAACAAAAACAACTGGCTGGCCTTGGCGGATAAGAACACTCGAGAAGGTTGGAACCCTATCAATACTATTGTCATTTGTTGGAGTGCTTGGCTAGTAGACGATAGACGAGGGGGTGGGGGGGGGAGGACGGGGGCTAAATGTTGGCTTTTTTGATTGCTTACTCCATCCTGCAGCTGTCTAGTTTGCCCGCTACTTCGTCATCGTCTATTTGCACATAATTCTTCACTGGATGTCGTGACAGAAAAAGCGTCTTGTGGAGCGCAATATACCTCATGCTCGAGCAAACACACACAATTTTGAAGTGAAGAAGTTGATTTTGACATATTCACAGTCATTTATTCATCACTTAACGGGTCTATATGGAACCAATATAACGTCTAGCTCTCAGTTGGCTTGTTTGCTCAGTTTGTAGAGCACTGCACCGGTATCACAAAAGTCATGGGTTGGAATCCTGCACAGGCCTGAATTATTTTCAGGCCTTATTTCCACTACTGCTCAAGTAGCGTTCATTACTGCGAAGATCGCGTTCATATTCACGTTTTTATCCGCATTTCACATATATGATTTTGATATATTCACTGTCATTTATTCATCACTTAACGGGTTTTTATGGAACCAACATAACAACCAGCTCCCAGTTGGCTTGTTAGCTCAGTTGGTAGAGAATTGCATTGGTATCGCAGAGGTCATGGGTTCAAATCCTGCACGGTCCTGAATTTTTTTCAGGCCTTATTTTTACTACTGCTCAAGTAGCGTTCATTACTGCGAAGATCGCGTTCATATTCACGTTTTTATCTGCATTTCACATAGCTCAGTTGGTAGAGCATTGCATTGGTATCGCAGAGGTCATGGGGTCAAATCCTGCACAGTCCTGAATTTTTTTTCAGGGCTTATTTTCACTACTGCTCAAGTAGTGTTCATTACTGCAAAGATCGTTTCATATTCAATACGTGTGAAGGTGTAATTGTACCCAAGCGAAGCCCCGATCAGTCTCTGATTGGCGTGATAATAACACATTTTATTGAAAAAATCGTAAGGAATACCATAGAGAATATTACTTTGTTGATAATAATCTTTAATCAGAATGCCAACCTTCGTTGTATGGAGGATTGGTGACTAAACGATTAATCAAAATAGTTAGAGAATGAGTTCATTCTATTTTGGCCACGCACTCCTATGATCTGATGGATCTTTTGTGTCTATATGTCAATGGACCTGTTACCAAGGGCTCACAAGCGGTGTACCTCAGACCCTTTTTACAGAGTATGGATGTTTTTCAGACAAGTGAAAATGTTCCAGTGATTTAGCCTCCATCTCCCAATGTAATCGTTGCACCGTATGATCACTGTTACTCTTCGGGTCGAAGCATTACTGTGCTATTTGTTGTCAATAGCATTCCTGCTACTTCAGTTATGCATACTCTTTTATTACTGGAGGTAACTAGAATTGTATTGTAGATAGATTACAAATTTTCTTTCTTCATTTTTTAGCAATGATGGACTCAAAGGAAGACAACAGCGATGCAAATAACAATAACAAGGACTTAGCTGCCGAGAAAAACGATAAACTAATAACACCAGAACGTAAGGTTTCTCAAACAAAAGATTCAACTAGTGAGGGAAAAGTAAGAAACAAAGACAAGAAATCGAAAACATGCAGTATCTTGTAAGACAGTTGTTTCCATGGCACTAATTGAAATTTTAATTATTTACATAGTGCTCGATTGCTTTGTCTTATTTAAGAGGCTACGAATACTTTCTTTATATTCTTGGAACATAATTTTTGGGTCTACTCCCAATCCCTTAAATGTTTAAGACTCTAAATTTCTAAATTGTTGGCTTTTTCACGTCGTTTGCCAGTGCAATTTATTTAAGTAACGTAACTACTACAAATTTATTTATGAATACTTGATTGTTTCTCCTGTGAATAAGAATGTGATACTAAGCATTATGGACTTACTCTGTACAAAGAAATAAGAATATGACGCAACTACAATAAAGTTTTACTCAATTTTAGAGAACGTTTTTTCTCTCTTTTTATATTTCTTGTCCATCTTTTTCATATTTTGTTTTGTTTATTGACTGGCATTAAGAATAACTGAATGAACTCACTAAGAGTATTAATTTCTAACAACTGATTGACATTTTCCGATAAAATCAGTGAAATCAAGTTGACTGCTACACGATAGCAATTACCTCGGGTTTTGTGGTTTGTTTTCTTGTTTGTGGTTCTTTCGTTTGTTCGCTTTTTGTTTTGTTTTGTTTCTTGGTTTTTTTTTTCTTGAATCAAAATGACAATTGACGTTATTTTGTCTTTTTGTACAATATTCTATCTCTACCCAGCGTGCAATATGTTACCGGATACAAACAAGAAAGCTGCCTTTCAGTCTTTCGAAGAGGAAGAATGAAAGGGAAGTTCGACTCATAAAAAGATCTTCTCGTGAACACTTCGTTCGTGTATGAAATGTCAAAGAAGGCAAACTCCGTCCGTGTATGGGTGAGATGATATGTAGTGAGTTTTTAATGCGTTCTTTTGGTAAAAAGCTTTTTCACAAAACTCACATTTGAATGGCTTAGTTGGTGCATGGGTACGTTTGTGAGTGTTAAGTGTAGAAGTGAGAGTAAATCCCTTTCCACAAATGTCGCATTTGTAAGGTCTGTTTCCCGTATGTCCATAGATATGTGCCTGGAGGTTTCCTTTCTGATTGAAGCCTTTGCCGCAGTGTTCGCATTTGTACATTCGAACAGCGGAATGAGTTCTCATGTGGTACTTCAGGTGAGTGAGCTGTTTGAAGCCGCGACCGCACTTGCTACACCTGTGTGGCTTCTCACCAGTGTGAGTGTAGCGATGTATTTTCATGTCGACTTTCTGATGGAATCCCTTTCCGCAAAAATCGCACGAAAATGGTTTGTAATTTGTGTGCGTTCGCATATGGGTGTTTAAGTTGGATGTGCGGCTGAAACACTTGTTGCACTGTGGACAGGCGTGAGGTTTGATAGAAGCGTGAGTCAGTTTATGACGAGTTAGGTTTCCAAGTTGACGGAATGCCCTACCGCACAAATCACAAGGAAAAGGCCTATCACCAGTGTGAATGCGCTTGTGGGTGATTAAAGTGTTACTTCGACTGAACGCCCGTCCACACACCTCGCATTGATATTTTCGTTCCCCAATTGGCACCTCTTTTGTTGGATTTCCAGCGGCAGATGTCTGTGTGTAAGTGGAGTTCACATCATGATGCAAGATTCCTTTCCAAGTTTCTGAACGTGATAGGCCTTCCTTTTCTCCTGTGAAATCATTTGCTTTGGAACTCCCCAGTTGCGGTAAAATGTCCATTTTTTTCGACGAACCACTTTTTGGTTGGTTCGTTGTTTGTTGGTTTTGCGAACTACTAGAAGGAAATCCACATTCTGTGGACTCCAATCTGTCTTTTCTTTCACACGTGGCGCTACTTACACGTTTTGCGATCATATCATGAAATTGGAAGAACTCTCTTGATCGTTGAAAAGGAGAGCTAACAGCTACCATTGATTTCAAAGAGTTTTCAGCCCCATAAGAAATGCCTACACCCTCGATTGTTCTGCTTGGTCTCTCTTGGGGTAGTTTCAGAATAGGATATGTTGGTTGGTATTGATTTCGGCTGGTAAGCCTTGGACAGTTACTCATTAAGGTTGGTGGCGGACATGAAACGCTGGTTAAAGAGCTTTGGGTCACGAAGGCAGACTTTGGTCTTTCGTCTTTAAATGAACAAAATTGAAAGCTTCTGACCGAAGATGGGTTTTTATTTAGAATCAGAGCACCTTGGCCTTTTGTGAAATTTTTGTATACATCTAGGGTTCTTGTTCCCTTATTGTTTATTTTGCATGGCGCAGAATTCTCCAAAGTTGTCACCTCCCTGTATTCTTTGTTGCATTTGACCTCACTGAGTGCTGGTTTTGTTGGTTTGCTTAGAGGTTTTTGAAAGGGTAGACAACTCTGTTGTGATGGCTGAACATTCAAATCCTGAGGGCCTGAAAAAATTTTTTCTCTTAAGGGATTAACAAGCTCGAGTTTCGGATTATGATATGCTCTTTTCTCTTGGGTGACATCAAAGAAGTAGTTTGGTATCTTAACCACCGGTTCCTTGTCATTTTCCAAAGCCAGCTGCATCTCCAGGTTCTGGAATGGTTCAGGTGCTGGCGTGACGTAAAACCGTGCCTTTCCATATTTCCGTTTGGATCTCCGTGAATTGCGGGGATTTCTCTTCAAACCTTGTCTTGCTCCACAACTTACCTCGAAGGAACCATTTTCATATGTGAATACCCACGGGTAGCCACTTTGTGCATCATCTTGTTGTAGTCTCTCCTTTTTTGTTGTATCTAATTTATGGAAAGATTCTACGGACAGGGTTTGATGTCTCCAAGGTAACAATTTTTCTCCAGCTAAGACCCCAATTGGTCTTTGTGCATCGTTAAGCCATGTTTTATCGTCGTTGTCATTGGTATCCGTTACTACTAGCAAATCATGTTCACCGGTGGCGAAGTACGGCGACAATTGTGTTTCATTGGTTTTCAGATCCATAGCAACCGATTCATCTTGAGTTCCTGTTTCTTCAGCTATTGTGATAGGCAGTGAATTAGACCAAGAATTGTCTTGCTGATTATTCGTTCCTACTGGAAGCATTTTGTTTTCGCTGCCTCCTCTCAGTAAGAACTGAGCTTTCGGATAATCCCAGATGCAAAAGCACTGTTCTAGATGTTTTTCACGTGCCCCTCTCTTTCCCTCACATTTATTTTGCCTTGTATTATGTGCATATCTGTAGCACTCCAGAGGTATTGATGGGTATGACCTAACATCCGCGTTAAAAATGTGGCGATGAATCGGTGGCGCTGAAGAGGAACGATCCTTCAAAAGATGCTTATCATCCTTGTCTGAAAAGTGAGTTTTGTTCCAAACTTCCTTTAATACTTCTCCGTCAGTCATTCTACTTGGCTCAGTTGTTGTGTATATTTCATATGCGTGGTTGAGTTTGTCATCGGGCACCGTTGAATCAACTGAGTCTTTTCCAAAATAACTAAATGTAATCGCAAGGGAATCTTTTTGGAGATGAGCTAGTATCGGTGTCTTAGTTTCCGTTGTTGTGTGCCGCTGACCCAAAATGGGACGAGTCGAGTAGTGAGAGAAACAAGATGGACTTTGAGTGGATTGGGAGTAAAAAGAGGTTGTTTGCGGGTAATTTGACCTCTTGCCGTGACTGGAGTTAGACGACATGTTTGGATTGAGTGAGAAAGTAGAGGTGATCTGGATCTGTAGAGGAGAACCTTCGTCTCTAGAAGCGCCATCTTGCTCTTTATTATGAGTTCTCTTCTCTATTTCAGTTGCCAATTGCCGGTAGCCTTCTGAAGGAACTCTTGAATTTCTACTACTTCTATCGACGTGTGACTGTTTTCCTTGACTGAAATATCTGTCATGACTGATGGAGGAAATTTTCGATATTTTCATCTCGTTATTGCATTCCGTTCCGTTCACATTTGCCATCGAGGTTTCCGCCGGCAGATTTGCCGTAAATCCATATTTCAATTCATATTTTCCCCCTGTCGCAGTTCTGGAAGGGTAACTGTCCATTTCCTCTTGACTACGGGGAGATTTCCTTAACATACTTGAGAGGAAAAAATAAAAGACTTTAGAGTGACTGATACTAACGATGACCCTCCCGACAAACGACAGCAGTTAGAAATGCTCATATTTTTTAACATGGTTTTATGGCCCCTAGAAAAATTCAGCGGACTAATCTAGATCAATAGTCACCAAACGGATGTGAACAACGCTATGGGTTGCCAATGGGGCCGACAAACCAGCTAAATAACTGTTATGATAATCATTCAGAATTAATGATCTAACGGAGAATATAATCCACTTTCGTCCATCGACAATCAATCATGCGGATTTTTCCTTGTTCAGTTTCAAATGGGAACATAATTCAATGTAATTATGTAAATTCAAAAGAGTTTTTGAAGTGGTTAGAGTTTGTGGTTTGTTTGGGGTATAACGCGTATAAATCTTTTTACCTTCCCAACAAAAAACTGGACATGTTGAATGTGACACTAATCTGAGACAGAAAGGGACTAAATGCGGCTTGTACTCGATGAATTTCTTCGGTTTCTGCTGTGCAATTTGCGGTAGAAAAGTTTGATTTAAATCGACTCGCAATACTTAACGAAAGTGTAGATTGGGATGATAAGCATTGAAATAGTAAAATAGCAAATCTCTTTAGAAAGGAGCCCCATTTGTCTAAAAGGGTTGATAGATCTGGAGTTCGGTACAAGAGATGGTAGAGTGCTGGATCAGGACCCTTGTTGCTGTCATTGGATTGCGTCATTGTTGACTGACGCTACCGTTGCTATGGGATGATTGAATGTCGAACAATTAGCGGTCGATTTGAAAATATGACGAGCAAAATTGTGCTACGGTGGGTTCAAATTTATTGCTGACTTATGACAAGACTCTCCTGGTGAAATTTGAATCGATTCATTAAAATATGAAACTTAACTTTCAGCAACACAAAGTATATGCACCCATTATTTCTCAACTTTGACTTTAGCTTCAGAGGTCTCTTTCATTTTATGCAAGATTTTTACGTAAAAGTTTTTCTTTTACTCGCAATTGTTCTTTTATTATTGCGAACTAAAAGTTTGTCAATAAGTATGCAGGAAATAACAAACAAACCTGATTTTCACTTGTTCTCAGTAACGCCCGTTGTGGTGCTGGGAGTCGACTACTGGGCTAGGGCACTGTCAAAACAAAACAAATAAGATAATTGTCGTAAGATTTAGACTCGATATCTTATATCCGTTACCAGGAGTTGGTTGGCACGGTAAAATATTTCCAAATTAATTTACCATAACTCGTTGAGTATGTAAAAAAATGTTGTAGACCATTCAAAGCACCTAATTACAGACTGCTAATGTATAGAAACGAAATACGAAAATCAAAAGAAATTTTCAAAAAGCATACACGTGCTCTAAGTAAACAGAAAGTGCTTTGTGCTTTGCATCATAGACAATTCCAGATGACTTGAATAGGATGCTAGGTTTGTTAAACATTTTGGGAAACAATGACTTTTTAAGTTCTAAACAAATGTTTCAGAGCTACTGCAGTTTTTCCTTTTATTGGTGGTGCCGCCAGCTTATGGGAGCTTTTATTCTAATGTTTAATGCAACTTCTCACCTTCATTTTCTTAATTGTCCCATAATGTGTAATTGGTTTCAATAGTGAAAAGGCTTGGTGTCTGAAGACTTTTTTCTTTTTGTGAAGAAGCAGAAGCACAAATTATGCACGCGGACTTGAAGTTAACTCGTGTCACTTCTGGAGACTCTAATATAGGCTAATGTGAAAATCGAATCTCAACGTCTTTCTTTTTTCTCTACTGAGGAGATGATCTCATTGAAACTCTGCTTTATGTGTGCACGAGATAGGACGCTCCACACTTTTCAAATGTCAGCTCCACCCTTTATCCTCCCCACCTGCTTTGAGCCTAAGGTCGCTTAAGCTTTGCCAAGAAATTCATTTGGGGAAAAATATGGTCAAATCCATATCGGATTCCACTCTCAACTTCATAACAGGCTTCTTCAACCGCGACAAGACAACATTTAAATAACCTTTTGTTTGAATATGTATTCATTTTGGACCATTTAAAACTAAAGCAAACCACCCACTGGACAATAAAGACATTTTCTAAAATTCGTTTGAAATCATATTCGCTTGATACCCAGGTTTTGTAAAAAAAACTATTAATTTCTTTGAGTGATTTCATCGCTATTCGGGTGTCATTCAATCGAATTCAAATCATTTAAAATTTGTAAAAAAGAGTTCAAAACATGTTACATGCCTCCTTCACGTGGAAGGATAAATTTTGGGTAAGGCATAATCTGCAGAGTCAACAAAGTTTTTTTTCCATTCATCAGCCGCAGGCTACAATTGGGGCTGATGGGTCTTGAATATTGAGTCTTTAGACAGAAATTCTTTCTCGCCTGTGCATAACCACTAAGTGAAGGATGCCCCCCTTAGAAGGGTATCTCTTGGTTTAGGCAGGAAAAATGTTGACAGCATGACCTAAACTTACTTCCTCACAGATGTTCAGAGTCTCTTATATAGACAGGAACTTTAAGGCATTCCATCAGACCTAACGAAATACTATACTCATGTTCCAGGTTATTCACCATTTTAAGAAAAATTGCGAACAAAAAAATGATTGAAGTTAATAAAATAGTAATCCACACCAAAAACAAACCATCAAGTTTTCTACATTTGATGAAGTAAACTAAAAATTTCGAATCGTCATTAAAAAAAAAAAAAAAAAAAAAAAAAAAAAAAAAAAAAAGAGCGAATTTAAATGTAGGAGTACCTAACAATTGTCTCTAGGATTTTGAGGAAAAGCATTACCGGATCGAAAATTGAACAGAAAACAAGCGAAGTCCACAATTCCCGCCCATGAAAAGAAAACATTGAACATTTCATATAAACGTTTTACAGCCCAAAAGAAAACACCTTAGTAGGTAATCAAACATTCATTCAGCAATGTCGTATTCTTAAATGAAGAAAGTAAACATTGAATCGTAACTTTTTACAATAAAAATAGTACCATGAGCTCTTACTCTTAAAAGGTTCGGAAAATTAAACCCAACGGCTCCTATAGCGTGACAGCTGAGTTGAATAGTTTCTGAAGTTGACTTGTTTGTGTTTCGGCTGATTAGCTTAGCTTATCACATTTTTACATAGTGCATACAAAAAAACCTTTATTACTCTTGTCATGGTAATTATTTTTTCTTTTTAAGGTCGGTTAAAGCTCAAAAGTTTTTAACTGGTTCAAGGTGGGTACAAATTTGATCTTTAAGGAACAACAACAACGAAAAAAAGTTAAATAAGCTGCAGAAAGCATACTAGTCGAATGCGGCTGGTAATAACCGCATCTGCCGATTTCGATAAGGTTCTGCTAAATTGTACAAGAAGTGACTAAAATAACAAAGCGAAAATTATCTTGTCAATATAACATACGAATATCGGTTATAGGATTGTCTCAGAAACTTCGCGATGGCTCTTGAAACTAAAACATTTGTCGAAAGAAACCTCGGTTTAATCAGACGGTTTGGAACCCTTCTATTGACGCACGTAATACGTGTAATGCACCAGGGTCTGACACGCCATCTGTAGTCAGGAGGTGAAAGGAGAGTGCGTTATCCTAAATAATCTAAGCTGATGGTACATGATCGGCTCACTTCAATTTGTTGTCGAAGTTGTAATCAGTCGAAGACGTTATTAATTTTACTATTGCCTGGGATTTCATTTCTAATGTAATATCTTTTTTCCTCACCTCGCTGGATTCCCCAATCGCCGGGCTATTGAACTGCTAGTCTCTTCGCACAAACTGTACTTGTAGAGACAAATGTCATCAACAGAAGTTGAGAACTTATCAACTACCGATGAAGGTAATTATTTCAAATAGCTTGGACTTGACGCTGCTGGAAGCTTCTAAGGCTATTATGTACGAGGTGACTTTGCAACCTGCCAAGTATGGACCATCAGTTCAAAGAAAAGCTAATTTTGCAGTTAATTAAACACATCGACACGCACCCACCCGGCTTGTTTTACTCACAAGAATGGCTGTAAACGAACATCAACCCACACCGCCATGAACTAAATTCGCTGGATGGAATCATGAATAAAATGAACCAAGCTCACTGCAGTTATGATCCGACGTTTAGATATCAAACATTGTTTTGTTTCATTGTTTTTATTGAGGAACATTTATGTTGACAGTTCTAAAAAGATTCATATGGTTTGGAAACTCTTTGTATTAGATTTAACTCTTTCACCGGACAGGACTCTGCAAATTATTGTTTTAATTGTTTTGTATTTAAGCTATGTTTGTGGCATATAAGGTATTGTTAAACAGCTTGCAAAACGGACAATTTCTTATCATATGCAGAATAATGAATTCAGCCATTGAACACAATAGATAGTGCAACAAGTTAAAAGGTTTTTGCTTTAGACAATTCCCACGTTTATTATTACAAACACATCTAACAGAACACTAGTGATAAAGCTTTCAGAAAAGCCAGATGTATAAAAAATGATTGTGACACCCTGTCTCATTAAGAATGATTAATTTTGTCCACGAAGGAGGAAAGATATTACCAAAATGAGAGATTACATTTCTTTATTTGTGTTAGGAAAGCAAACAGGTGTGCGCGCTTCATAAGTTATTAAAGGAGGCCCTGAGCTCTCCGTTTCGTTTGTTAGTATTTGTGAGTGGGCATAAGAAGCTGGTACTGTACCGATAAATGAGTAACTGAGGACAAATAAATAAAAGTTTCACCAATTTAACTCAGAATACAGAATATTCTTAGAACCTGGTGAAGGAAAAGTTAGCAAAGTGCAGGCAAAGTTAACTTTTGTGCAAATTTAATCGCTTGCCGTGTATACTAACTCATTCAGCATCGACTTCATCGCCTGTGTGGTCTGGAGTCGATAGCACTTGTTCAGAAGAGCTGAGGAGTTAAAGCTGTCTGATCAGTACTGAGGTAGCCTATTTGCAGTCTGAGTAACCATCCGCTCTCGCGTTTGCTCGCTGGCCTCGGTACTGATTTTTTTGGAGAAATTTGAAAATAAAGCAATTATGATGTTTTTTTTCGCTTTTGACAACATATCTAGAGAAGAACTGGTTTGTTATAATTGGCCTAAAAGAGCCTTAGCGCGCGTAATTCTGTCGACAAACACTAGCGCACCATCTGGCACGTAATGCAGGCTTTAATGAAATATATTTTTCTGAATAACAAATAACAGGAAGACTAAATCTTTATAAAAAGAAAAACACCGAGCCATGAAAAGATCTGCATGAATCACTCACCATTAATATTTTTTACTTCTGATTTTAACTAAACTCAGGATAAGATTTAATTACATCATCACGATAAAAGCAAACTAAATTCTAGGATTGCAACTCTACTTGCCAATTCCTACCTGTTTCGGTGCCGTTTTCTAGTTTCTTAAGCAACAATAATAGCAAAACTCGTCCCGCCTACTGGTGGAACAAGAAATGTTGAAAGTATGCATGTTCATCATTGGTTGGCTAAGCTATAATTCCTGGAGAATCACCGACCTTGATTAAAGCCGCATATTTAGCAATATAAATCCCGATAACAAACTTAAGTATGTTATTATTCTCCAGATCATCATTTTTTTTTACCATTTAATCATTGTGAACTGCATTAATTTTTTATCTGGTTGCACTCATCAGATTGATGGGGAATTTAAGTTTCTATCTTTCAGTCACGACTAAACAATATAGTGTTAGCTCAATTCCAGAGTGTTGTCATACCATGGTTTTTGCTTTTGTACTTGTCACTGTATAAAAATAGCTAAGTAGCGTCTAACCTCACCTCTGCCCATTTTCCCTCTCAAACGATGAATCCACTCAAATTCTAACCCATGACATGACAAAACAATGATTGGACTTTCTGTCAAGTTCGTAATTTATGGGAATGCACCTCAGTACAAATAAATAGTTGTCAAAGAAGAGAAAACGGCTCATGGAAATTTTTTTGTAGTAATGAAGATGAATTGAACTGTTTAAATAAGAGTTAGAGCGACAGAGCGACTGATGTAAGGAAAAAGACTTGTTTATTAACGCTGGGTTCAGATCATTTTGTAGTTTGACAACTTAAAGGTAAGAGATTGAACAGAATACTTCACTTTGTCTAACTTTTCACACCTAATAACTCATCATTTATCACCTTGAGCTAGGAATGATATCCTGTTTGATCACAAGAAATATGTCAGGATAAAAGTATAAGATTTGTTTTCAGAACTCTAAATTCCTGTTAAAATTTGAACAATAGTGTAATTACTCGATGCTCTAAACAAAAATAATCGCTCTGCAAGCGAATGACCTCTCACGCGACAGGTGCAGTGTCTCCGTTAACTGACTAATTAAAACAGGTCACTAAAACTCCAAGTTGGATACAAATACCTGATAAAATATGACTTAGATGTAGTTCAAAGCATTGGGCAACTTTTAGGGATCATATCTGGATATTTCACCAATTAAACATCAGTTAGCAGTAAATCTATAACCAAACGGGATCATGACAAATATTTTCCTATACCTTTCTACAAAAGTTTTTGTGAAGGGTATAGTTATCAAACATCCTGCCTGAATGAGCCAATAAAATTTTTTTATGAAATCCTCCAGTGTATAGTCATTATAAATACTGACAAGTGGGAACAATTATAGGTTATGGCCTTCTTCGCCTCCTGATTCATACAATTTTAAACTGCTTTCTAGTAATTATAATAATGAATTTGAAACATCGGAGTTACTGTTACGAGTCAAATTATATATTTATTCCATTTTGATCGTAGTAATGTAGGTAATCTAAGGACATTCTTCTGTATTGGGTCAAACTTCGTAACAGTAGTCGCCCAGGGAGATTCAATGACATTTCACTGTGTTAGGCCAAACTTTGCCCAAGATTATACTATCCTTCAGAACGAAAAATCCAGGGCGCGAATCCTCTCTCTTTTTCAGTCCTAAGATCCCAGAAGAATGCCCTAACACCGCAGCAGGCTTCACAAGCCATATAAATTTTTTTCCCTTGTTACAAGCGTATATTGAAAGCAATAACAACTATTAAGTTTTGAGATTTTAAAGATAAGCTTAACCGTTTCAAAATTGTCTATATTGTGCTAGGCAGCCTGGCTGCGCGCTTGTGACATCACCAAATCTCGATCCTCTTTTCAACCCTTGATAATCTGTTTTAACCATTAAGGGCCACACAAAAAGGAACATTTGGGATTTAAATGATGATCATTTTTACGATAACAAGAGCAGTAGCTGTATGTGAAGCACCTGTTGCGATTTTTCGTGCGCGGCTAAGTCACTGAAGTGTTTCTCAAAATGGGGGTGTCCACAGTCCAATTTTAGCCCATTAGAAGAAAATTGACTTCGGCTAGCTAATTCTCTGGAATCTTAAGACTGCGGAAAGAAGTTAAATTTTTAACACACTTTTCGGTTGCGGAGAAAAAAAGTTACTTGGTTTCTAGAGCATTCATCTCATGGAAACATGATAATCTAATAATCATGGTTCGTGCAAATTTATTAAGTGTACGCTTTGGCTGGAGAATCGTTTAAAAGCCTTTCTTGGGATAGACCAAACAGTCATAAAAATCTTACAAAGCCGCAAACCAACGAAGTAGAGACTTTCATTCGTCTTCATGTGTGTTAGTCTGAATAAATTGAAAAAGTTAAGCAGATATCTGTGGTCAGTTTTGAGGCATTGCTAGGGATACTCTTAGCAAAAGTGAAAGCCTTGCCTTACGTTACCATCCAAAATCATTTTAGAACTTGCGGCTGATCAGCCACCTCTCTCGAAACTGCACTGAAATGGCCTCACGTGTTTGATCTAAATCAAACTTTTTCATCTTACAAATTGCTTCAAAAGCATAATGGTGTTTGATCATTTAGCGACCTCTAGAAACGAAGCAAACCAAACCGGGGAAAAACAAGCAACTAGAAACCAAACATGAGTAATTTAACGCAGGAAGGGTCTTGCGAGCTCATCTGCGTTCCATGTTTGATAAAATACTGATTATTTGCTCGTTTAGCCACCCTATTTCGTGTGCGACAAATACGGCGATGAACGATAATTTTGATTGTTTAGCCGGGGCGTAAATCTGTTCCCTGATGGAAACCAACCTTAAGGTTTGACAAGAGTTTTTTTTGACGCCAGAGATATCATTTTTAACAACATCTGAGAAAATTGGAACTATAATGACTCTAACGATAATCTCACTGGCTCTTTAATGTCGTTAGCTCTGCTACTTGCTGGTTACCCTAGGCTGAATAGAAAAAAAGTAGCATAGCATTTGTTGGCTTACAACTATGAAAGATAACTTGACAGCTAAAACTGTGGGAATTTACATTACGGAAACGTCTGTTGGGACCAATCCGTAGACTCCATCGTAAAGCATTCCCTTCCTTATACCGCAAGATTTCGGCCTTGATTTATCAGAAAATTAGTTTTTTTTGCAGAAGGCGCTTAACTTGCGCCTCAATTTATTGTGTTTGAATGTGCACTTTTCAACATTTCAGTACGATTCCTCTCCCTAAACTTAAAGTCAAAGGAGCTTTTCCGAAAATAAATTGGCGATTAATTAAAACAAGTTTAACGAGATTCACTGACAGTTAACTATAACTTTATATTGGTGCTCCGTGGCGAACGAATACCGACAGATTCTTGTACTTACTCGCTTTGCTCTTTCTCTTACTCTTTATTGAGTTTTTTCAATGGTGAGCATGTTCGCCTCTCCTCCAACCTTTTAATCCAAAGGTTTATAATTCTAATGAAGAAATTAATTCTCCGCTCCATTTCCCGCTATCCCTGGAAGAAGAGAGGTGTCATATAAATGTAACAGGAGGGTCTTCTGTTTTTCTTTTAACGCTGCTTTTTCTACTAAGCTTCCTTCTTAATTCACTAAGCTCTTTTGAGGACGAGCTAGAAAACGTGTCTCCATGAGTGGCAAAAATGGATCCTCTAGGTAAGGTAAGCCTTCTAGATAATGTTCCTATTGTAGTGAGTGACTCTTCTCGAGTTCTTTCTAGCCGTCCACGCCATCGAGTAAAAAGTCTCTTGAAGGCCCTGCGATAGGTTTTGTTTAAGCAAGTGTACAAAATTGGATTTAAACAACTATTTACATATTCCAACCATTTGGCGCACTTGTGAACATCCAAAGGATAAAAGTTCTTGTTGTTGATGTAGCCAATGACTGACACAAAGAAAGGCGCCCAACAGAAAACGAACGCACCAATCACCACCGCTATTGTTTTCGCGGCTTTCACGTCTGTAGTGTAGTTCCTGTTACGACCGATTCGACGAGCCTGACGTCTAGCTACAACATAAATTCTAGCGTACATCGCGATCATAAATAACAGCGGAAGTGCAAAGCTCGCTATGAACACCATATATTGATATCCACCGGTTCGTATCCAGTTTTTATCCAGGAGTCGCAGACTGGACACTACGACGGCATAAATCCATGCAAAACACAAAATAAGCAAAGCTCTTCGTGATGTCATTACATGAGGATATGAATATGGGGCAGTGATTGCCACGTGTCTATCAGCACTAACCGCTGCCAAGTTCATTATGGATGCTGTGCCAAAGAAAATATCCATGCATTGCCAAAAGAGATAAAGATCTCCCTGAATGACGGTATTGTTTGATAAATCGGTAAGCTGCAATACTAACCAAAATGGCATCCCCAAAATTGCCACTAGTATATCGGATATTGCGAGACTTATGATAAAATAGTTACATATTGTTCGAAGGTCTCGGAATGTGTAGAAGCTTGCACATACGATTGCATTTCCAAATATAGTAAGTACTATCACGAGACCCACAGCAACTGCGCTAGTGATATTGACAGGATCTGTGACAAATAGCACGGGAGTTGTCGTGGCACTGTCATTTGAAATATTCATATCTAATGTTTAACCTAAGGAAAGAAAAAGCAGAAATCAACATTAGTGGAAGTATTTCTCTCTATCTGTCTATCCATCCATGTATCCATCTCTCTATCTACAGTCGAACCTGTATTAAGCGGTCACTCACGGGGAATGGCGGGGTGACCCCTAAATACAGGTTGACCACTTAATACAGGTTCCACGGAATAGGGGTTTTGCAAAAAAACGGTAAAAAAACGCCATTTTATACAATAATTGACCACTTACTGTACAAAACCTACTAGCATTGATTTCGGGAGATAAACATGAATTAAATATACTTGGGAGTTTCTTCTTTGAGTGGTCCTACTGATTCCGTTAAATACAGGTAGAAGACAGTACAAACATAGGTGGAAATTGCAATGTTTGAAGGGAAAGAATATCGCGACTTTGACAACTGATGGTTAAATACAGGGTGACCGCTCAATAAGGTACCGCGTCATACAGGTTCGACTGTATCTATCTATATTTCCATTTACCTACCTACCCCTCTATATCAATTAATAATTACAGATGATGATAAATGATGATAACGACAATGTTATTAAAAGCTATTATCAGGTTCATAAGAAGGCCCCTCTTGTTCTTAAGAATGAATCAAAATATTTAGAGATGTACTTCATTATTTTATAGGGAACATTTTTAACCCAACAACAGCCCAACTGCAAAAATTATTAGAGGTTGCTACTATCTAAAGCAACTGAATCATTCACATAAGAAAGAAAGTAAGCAAATAACATTTGGATGGCGAACCCTGCAGAAACTCTTCTATTTTGTCTGTCTAATTTGTAAGAAAAGATTTGCTAAGAATAAGGGTTTTCAACATCTGTGGAATACATTGATAAGCCTTTTCTTTGGTTGACCTAGTGATGAAGTATCAAAGATGATAACAAGAGTGAAACTAAAATTTCGACAAGCTAATAAGCGAAGCACAGAGCGTGAAATAAATAGAAACAAATTATTTCAGCTTAAAAGTATAAAATTCTATTCAAGGTCAACATAAAAAGGGACTAAATAGTTCTAAAAAAAATATAATGGTTGTTTGTGGCATTTTTCTTTAGGTGATAAGTAGATCTTGTTGGTATGGTGCATATCTGACTGTTTCAGTTGACTGTTTTAGTTCGCCTGTCATATTTTGACAGAGCTGCTCACTTACGAGGATATAGGGTGATTGCAGCTTTAACGTTGCGATTATAAAGCGGCGCAGTACTTCTCTTCATCTAAACAACAATGAGCGCTTTATGTGTCAATCTGTAGTTTGCAGAAGGCTTACTACATCACTACAACTGCTTTCTGGTTGAAAGACATCACACTCTTAGAACGCAAGTATTATGTTCTCCGGTGAAATCAATTCGCTTTGAAATTCGAAGGTAAACAGACAAAACCTACCATTCCTGATAATTCGTGATCGAAATTCGCCACTCATGTTGAGTCTTGTTAATGTAAAACTCCTGGAGCACTGATCGTATTGAAACTATGCGTGGGATCTTTATTTGAATGAGAATGATAGATAAGTGATTACCATGACGATCCTAGCTCGCACTGCTTGAGTGTTTGTTTGTTGGTTTTTTTTTCATAAAGTATCGTTATAGAGCACACAAAACGATGCACACTAACTTCCATGAAAGAAACAGAATCACTCAGACTCGTCTGGTCTGTTTGCCTTAAGAGTAAGATAATTTGTAGGGGCGATACAAAATGTCAGGTTCAAAAGCATTACAAATTTAAATGGATGGAGACTGACATGGTCTCAAAAACAAACCGTCTTTGTATTAAAGAAAGCTGTTAACATGATGTACACTGTATAAATGTTACAAAGCAGCAATACGTATATCAGAACATTAGGTGCAATAAGAAGATTGCAAAAGATTGTGGGCAACAAAAAGGGCTTACCTACTTTAGTTTGTACTAGCACGAACTTTCCTGGTCTGAAAGCAAATTAAACGAAATTTACGCTTGATCGAAGTAGACGCGTGATGTGTCCATAGAAAAACAGGAACGTGGGCGAGCGCTGTCATTTACAATGGAATGTGGCAAGATCTCTCAAGGCTGACCAGAAATCAGGAGACTAAATTCTCAGCATGATTTGAAATGTAAGCAAGAGGCAAAGCTAACTAATATGTCGAACATTGATCAGTCAATTTAAGATTACCAACAAATCAAGTACATTTGTTATTGTATGTCTATTTCGTGATTTCGGAATGTATTTGTATTACAAGGGTTAATTAAATGCTTCTGTCAGAGGAGAGACGGCAAATTGGCAGCAACAAGAAGTTCATGTACTGGCAAGACAAGAAATCGCAGAAACTTTTCAGTTTTTTTCGGAAAAAGGAATAACCACCAAAAACATTCCACTTCATCTAACAAGCAACGAGACGCAGCGTGATGATAAAAAAAAAAAAATTCAAACCTAGGGTGAGGACTGAGAATCAGCCAACATACTGAGTCACATTGCATGAATGCTGACACAAGAGAGTGAGAGCCTAAAGGAATCCAATGCTGGCTGAACCAGGCCCCTGGATTTAGATGTTTCTGTGCCTCAACGAATCAACCACACCAATCTTATTTCGGCTGTCATGCAGCGGGGTCAGGTGCAGCGTGCCTTTCATTTATAACGATTTTCTTATTGTACTGGCTATCTCTACAACATTGTAGTCACTTCAAACTTATGGAAACCATTCAAGGAATTAGAAACGAAAATAAGTAAAAACGGTCAAAGATCAAATTGTTCTAAGAAAATCGAAACAAAATGCTTTGGAGTGGAAATGCAAATTTATAATACACATTGAGAAACGTTGGCGACAACTGCAGATTTCATATTATTGTGCAAAAAAGATAAAACAATTAAGTGTCAATAATTTCAGGGAGTTTCAAAATCTTAATTTTTTTAGACTTGTTCATGTATTCTTCAGAGGACAGTTTCTTTCATCGCTCTCTAAACGATCTTCACTCCGTGTATTGCTTATTCGCCCAGGGAATGAATGTTACAGCAAATATTTTCAAGTTTTGAAAAGCGCACGCATTTTAATAGCCATTGCATCTGCAGTAAGTAAATTGGAATGATTATCAAGAAAATAGCCTTTTTAGTCAGTGGTTGAATAGTTTTAAGGTGACCCTGACCACAAAAGACCCTGACTCTGATTACATTCAGGGGATATTTGTGTATCAGCATATCTCCACTCACCTATTTGTGGCCTGTCTATAGGAGCATAGGATACTGCTATTTTTTTGTTCTTCCACGCTTATACGTATTTCTCAGGTTATGCTACACTGAGAATGTGTAGTCGGTAATTCTTGTTGATAGAACACAGTTCTGGTTTTGATTAAAAAGGACTGTAATCTTACTCTGAATGAATTTGCAATTTTTGTGGAATATAACCTCCTTCTTGAGATTGAGAACGTATTACAAATAAACTCCTGATTTCAAAATAATTCTGTGTCGATTAACAAAGCAATTTGACTTTCCATATATTTTTATCAAGCTGTGCCGTGAAAAACATACGAATCCCCGCTGTTTTTCAATTAACCCAATTCAATTTCAATGAAAATGTTGTAGAGTTCCATGAAATTTCATCCTCAAGAGATGGTGTTAAAAAACAATAAAAAATGTTTCCACACAATAAAGATTGTTTTTAAAGTTAACAGTATAAGCTTTTGAATAGGCTTTCTATTTATTTTGAATGAAAATTCGAATACGTGGTCACACTATTCCGACATGCTGCGATAGTCCAATCCTTCCCTGCGGCGAAATGATGGAGAAATAGAATTCGCCTCTTTGGAACAGGTTTTTAATCATAGAAACACGCAAATCAATGGTGATAGTAAAATCAGATGTAAAAGTAAAACAAAGCAGCAGTAAGTTGTTAATCTATGTTGTTGTTTGAGCCGAATTTAACACCTAAATCTCATTCTGTCGTTAATTGTAGACTGGAATTAGTATTCATGTTATTCTCATAGATTCTCCAGGCAACTGGAGTTTTTCACAGAACGCACCGGGGTTGCTTCAATATTTAATAGACAATCTTAAGTGTGTGTAGGTAAAAGGGTATTACTGATTTTGATAATCAAATAAATGTAGAATCATCAAGAACAGAAATTCATCAACCGAGGGAAATTCCCGGTGGGGTGCAAAATTTGACGCATTTTCAATTCCATTTCACGTCCATGTATTATCTTATGTGGTTGTGTTTTTTTGTGAAAACTCCATTTATAAGAAAGAAGATTTTTTTTTAACTCTGGTTGAAGTTCAAGTAAAAGTAGGTGTGTTTGGGATCATAGGAAAATCTTTATCAGGAGTCACCATCATGAAATAAACTAAATAGTGACTCCATCAGATGGAGAGTGAGTCAAGCAGGAGAATAATTGACACACATGCATGTACATCTTTCATCCGTCTCGCCTATAATTTAAGGTCAAAGTTACCTCAGGCTTCTCTTCTCGTTTTCATGAAAAATTGATATATCCTTTAACGTGCCAAGCAGCTAAATAGAGGGACTGGTTATTGGATGGTTAGTATGGATTGAATGTTAATTAGATCATTACTATCCCTTTAGCTGTTTTTATGCTACTGTTTATAGTGGCGTTACTATTTCAGAACACGTAGAGATTTGGGAGAAATATCTTGTTTCGTGCAGAAAATGCTGCACAGGGAATTCTTGCAGGTCTCAAATAGCCGATGATTTTTTTCGTCCAGTGGCGTCCTAACCTTTAAATTTTTCTCGCTCCAATATCAACGTTTGCTCGTATTAATAATAGTTCGCCAACTAATGTGTACTCAGTACAGAAGTACAAATGATTTTTAAAAGAAAAGGGGCAGTTTTAGATCCTGCTTATTCTATGCTAGTGGTGGCTTTAATACCTATTCGAGAATTATAAACATCGTTTGTTACTCGTTGCACATATGGGATACTTTGTGAACACAGCCTAAGCCTGCACCATGGGGGGAGGAGAGGAAAGTCATCTGGTTGACGGGTTTGGCTTGAATTAGATTTCCACCCGGCTTTCTGTGTGTCATACTTCTAAAGTAAACTTATTCGATGAATCGTACAAAACATAAGAGAGATTAAGATTTCTGCTGAAGACATATATCGGTTGTTAAATTAATTTTTCGACTGGTCATTTTTACACTTATCTTTCCTATGTAATTTCCGCCAAGTATTTTTCTTTAAGACGAGAAACCATCTGTTTCAGAGAGTTATGAGGCACACTTTTTGACAGAATTAGGCATACTTCTGAGAGGATTAAGTTGCCGGGCGTGAAGTGTGATATGAGTCATAAAGGACAGATTAGCTCCACCTCAATACGCTTGTCCTGAAAAAATGGATAATTAGAAGCACCTTGTACTGCACAAACTCTTTTCACAAATGGAAACGGGAAAAGGGGAACTCTTTGAGACAATCACCTGATGGGGTTTTGGGTTCAACAATTACCTCAAATCTCATGACCCACTTCACATCTCTGGGGAGCTACTACTTCAAAGAGAAGAAATCGATCCGCCTATAATAAAATACTGCGACAAAGCAACACAACCGCTAGGAACCTTTGTTTGAAACTGGCGACTTTTTTCATTACGTTTTCTCTAGCTGTCTACATCATAGTACAGCCTTGTGACAGCAATTTTTGGATCCTAAATCGTATGTACGGTGGCCGGTAAGAACAAAACAGAGTCACAAAACCTACAAACACAAACTTTAAACAGAATCACAAAATCCGCGACACTAACACAAAACTCTACAACACAAACACAAACTTAAAACAGAATCGCAAAATGCGCAGCGCTAACGCAAAACTCTACAACACAAACACAAACTGAAAACAGAATCACAAAATCCGCAACACTACCACAAAACTCTACAACACAAACACAAACGTAGGTTTTGTGTCAGTGTTGCGGATTTTGTGATTCTGTTTTGAGTTTGTGTTTGTGTTGTGGGTTTTGTGACTGTTTTGTTTTTACCGGCCACCGTACGTATGTGATGTTTGTAAAGCTCAGTCACAAAGCCTTTGTGAAAACCATTTGGTTTAAAAATCCGAAGGTGTTCATTGAACCACCAACAACAGCACTCTCCAACTAACGGTCGACCAAAAAATTCGAATAACAGTAGTTGGTAATCATGTTTGATATGTGTCAATTATACAGCTCGATATTCGGAGTTAATAGCACGCATATGGGTATGAGAAAAATGCAACAAAAAGGGAAATCTAACCTGGCATATGGAAGCTTCAAGGGAAGCACTTTCTTAATTTTTTGCAGACATGAATTTTCGCACTGTTTGTAGCCTCTTGCTCCAAGTGCACACGACAAAGGAGAATGCAACTGTATTTGACATACGTATATCTAAACAACATAGAATTACCTTGCTTTTTATTATCATCAAGTTAAAATTGCCATTAGCAACGACTGTAAACAAGTGAAATTAATCTTATCACTTTGAACATACTCGAAGTTACATCTTTTCTAAATCGAAGGACATATAAAGAGTTACCAGCGTGAATAACACTGGAATTTCCTTCATTATCACCGTAAGTTTAAATTTTAACATAATCACGAACTGGAAAATGACGTTCCAATTTTGGAAATTGTAGGGGATGGTTATTACATTTACTTTGGCGGAGCAGGTTGCCCTATTAAATAAAACTTCCAATCTGTTTTTACTATTGCCAATACTTGCATATCAACAGCATACTAACATATCACTTATGCTAAAGCGTGGTGAACAAAAAATCTCCAGAGAGATTTGCCATTGCGAATTGAGAGACAAGTCAAAACAAATTTGAAATGCAATTATCAAGGGGAAGAATAAAAACAGTGTGAAATAATGTCAATCTTGCAGTTAAGTTGCAACGTATTGATAAAAGTGCCTACGATGTCATTTATTTGTATTGCATGGTACGTTAATTGTGTCTTTAAAAGCCCGCTCACTTGTTTAGTTTTGGAGGGAAAGTTTTCACTCCTTCAAAATATTTTTATGAAATTCTTAAGTTATCTTGTACTACGTAACAAGAGATTTTAATTGCTCCAATAGCAATTGAAATTAAATTTGATCAGAGATTTAGACTTTAAGACAAAATTTGTGGTCAGGTAATTCTGAATATGATGCGCAGTTGGATATAACCGACATTAAATAATCATTGCAATGCAGATAGTAAATGATGAGGGTGTTTTTGGTCAACTATATGACTTAGTTATGCACAGACAAAAAGAGATGGAGACTGTGGATACTTATATAATAAAATGAACGTCGTTTTATCATCTGATTTTGGTATTTAACACATTTCTTTCTTGCTCACAAGCAAAAGTCTTGCTGTTCAGATTCGGAACTTTTATTGCATAAGTGATTCATTATCATTCTCGTAAGTTAATAGGTTTTTTATGTCTCCCTGCCTCAAAAGTGTCGGAGGGAGTATCACTTAAAAAAGGATCTGTTGTGTGTCTTTCGCCTGTCGTTTTTCTGTTCTAAAGCAACTTACTTCTAAATGTTTGCCACAAACATTTAAACACGCATGACTACTCTAAAAGATCGTATGATCCATTCTCATACTGCGTCCTAATTCGTACAAAAGCTAGTGCTATTGCAGCTGAGAAAGCGTGTATGACGTTACCTTTCACTGGCAAAGTTTGTTGGGATAAATAAAACAAAACGATGGCTCACAAAGAAATTTTATTTCAATAACCCGAAATTATTTTATAATTTGGTTGTGCTGTGGTCTTCTGATTAATTATTTAGTTCAGTCTGGTTTGTCAAGTAGTAATAAATTGCCGTTTGGCAAATTTTCGACAGTTTCAGTTATATTCGAGTCTTTGCCCTCAATCGGAAACTTTGAAACAAAGAAATATGGCTCTGTGATACATGATCGCAAAACGAAATACTTTGCGATCATGTATCACAGCAACACAAACACAAACTCGTCAAATCTCCGCCATGGAACAGGATGAACATGGTGATTTTTCTCGATTTGTTAAGTCTTTTTTGGAATCCAAATAATAATTCTTGCCCAAATTAGTATGAGTTCGAGGTGATATCTAAAAAACTGTTACAGTATTTACCATTAATTTCTTGGCAAATAGAGAAACAGTGAACCTTACCTTAAAGATGGATCTCACGAAACGGAAAGAGCGAATGCATTTTTATATTCATTGAAGTCTTTTGTCATTATCCTTTAACATCTCTGGACTCTGAGTGACTGTTGCAAGTATATATTATAAACTTTGTTTACCTCATAAAGTAAAATAGCATTTTTTAAGTGTCGCCTACTGGCCGGAACATCAATAAAGTGCATTAATGGTTTTGTCATACAAAGTAGGTTAAGAGGTCCGGAAGGCAAATTATATGTAAATGTCAAGGCAATATATGTTTTCAACCAAAACAGTTGCCTACATTTTGTATGCGGTGCTCTTTCCGTAAGTTTCGTTAATGTGTTGTACAAGGTTAATTTCCGTTTTATGTCAAAATTTTCTCACTTAAAGCCCGATTTAGCTTCCTCACAGTATCCGCGGAATGATGGCTGTTATTTCGACCAAATTGCCAAATTGCCAAAACGCTTCTCTGAGGCTTCAGGAGCAATGATATGGGCGCATCCGAATGCTTTCCCGCTTAATACATGGGGCATGTTTGAAATTATCATATGCTTTACTGTTTAATATGTTTCGCTTATTCATCACACATTTGGAAATTATAAGTTAGCTTTTACTTCATTAATTTTCCTCCTAACATTCCCTGTAGGCTACAAAGTTGTCATTTCTTCCTGTCTAAAGATGCCAGTCTACGGTTTTATGAATTTCTATACAGACATCTGATTTTGGAAAAAAAATTGATACAGAAGCAGGAATAAAGTTACCGACTTTGTGGAGTCTACTTTTTCCCCTTAAAAATGAAGGATAAACATTTCCGATTTAGGTAGAAGCCAAGGACGTTCAATCTATTTCAAAATCTCATCGTCATAGCTTCCCACGCAAACGTCTTCCCATTCCATCAGAAATGTAAATCATTTAGTTTGATATTTCAGATGTAAATCTCGTCACCACCATCGAAGATCAACAACTCGGAAATTGGACTTTGGATCAATGGAAGACTTCCTTCAAGTCGGCACTAAGTGAAGAAGACACGTGTCCTCACTGATTGGCAACGGTAAGCTTGTTTTAGGCAATTACAGGATATATTTTTTATTCATTAATTTTTTCTTTTACTTCACGTTGTGCATGCAGTCTTGCTTATTTGGGGGATTTTAGGCCTTCTCAGTAAACAAAGTATAGCGTAATTCATTTTTACATTGCTATAAATTCCTTACACTTACTCTTATTTTTTCTACAGTACAATTTTTTGTTTTTGCTTTGCTTAAGTGGTCTGCCCTCTTTCTGTCGCGACAGTTGAATCAGTATGTAGTATGATAAAACAAAAATGAAAGAGAAATCCAAAAATTTAGAATTGTACAATCAATGTCCGTTTCATTTATTGTGGATTCTTGTTCGGAGTGTTTGCTATATAACATGATTCGTGTATATTATTCTTCTCGTCAATTTAGACTTTTTGTATATTTTAGTTTGTTTGTCTATTTGTTTTCTGGAGTACATTAGCGTTACTTTCATTGTCCATCACACATATATCAATACGATAACTTTATAGGAACATACCAAAGAGGAGTCCGAAACCATCTCATGGGTCATGCAACGCAGGAGAGTTCACATCCGTGACGAGCATAAACCTTTCAATAAACTTTCACTAACGATGGAGACAAAGCAAACAATGTGATAGACAGGACCAGACAAGAGCGAGCCCCGGTTCCCTTTTGGGAGAAAGCTTATTGCTATGAACAAAATCGCATTTCGCTGCAGTTTTCGCATTTAATTGGTGGCAGCATCTAGATGAACTGATTGTGACCTGTGAACGTGGCTCTGTCGATGGATTCGAGAGAGAAATTAGAAGGCTGGGCACTAAAATTTAGTGATTAGAAACCAAAGACAGACGAATAAGAGTGTCATTTAAAAAAAAAACCCTTTCTTTTTCAAATATTTTTGCAAAACATCCAATACTTTGTATGACGACTTATTTTACGTCGTCTGATAGTTTTAACGGTAAATTGTCAACTGAAGAGTCTTAAATCAGTTTGGTTAGTTGGAAATACTTCGTCTCACGTCATTATGAGAAACGTCTTTGAGTTAGGCTTTGAACCTTTACACAAACAAAAATGAAAAATTATTGTTGAATGATCGATTTACTATCAAAAATTGAGGCTTACTCCAAGACAAAAAGTCTCAGATTGAATCGTAGTTAATGCGATGTAGCGGTAACACTATATGTTAACATTATTTTACCGGTAAACCATTCCGACCACTATGACCCAAGCTGCTCGTTTAATCAATCATCAAATAAATATTGCCTTAATTATTTATAGTTTTTTACAGAAATGGTTGTTCAGTCGTCAGGGAGTCAGTTAAAAGGAGACGCGTACCACTCGCACTTAAGCTATGTGGGTGTACTAGAACTTTTAAAAAGTCATTTACGCGAGTCGTTAAACATATTCAATTCGATGTTTAGGTTAATTCTCGCTTTTTTTGTGAGATCACATAGAACACTGCTACTCACCCTAAATGGCTCCTGACACAAAGTCTCGTCTTGATCCAACAGTGAGAATTCGGTTTCTGCCCTCCTGAAATAACAGAAAAGCTTTTACGTTTGATAATCCTTTCAGAAAGAGATTTTTGCTCACGTTCACCAAGAGCAAAACTATCGCGGTTTGAATCGTGGAAGGCAAAGTTAGAATTACCACATTTCCTTTGTGGGAACGGAACAGGTTTTTTTTATGGGATTGTTTCAAATTATGGGAATATTTCTGCGAGAGTCAGATTAAAAACTGATAGCCTTTATTTTGAATTAGTTGCATAGCTGGATGCATACGAAGAGGATCGAGAATTGTGGGGTAATAAGTCCTGTTAAGAAGTTGTCTTGATAGACCTTCGAGCTTTTATTAAAATGTTTTGTATTACAGCCTTGTGTGGGGAGTGTGATACAAAAACCTTTCAAAGCCTGGTTCGTCATACATGTATCTGCCATACCATGTGTCACCTGTGTCAAATTATTTAAAGATAACCAAGAGCCGTTTATGACAGATGGTGTTGGCAACCTCATTCGTCACTGCTGTTGATTGTTAAGAGTGTAACCTGATAAGTGCGGACACACCACTGACACGTCAGTTACATTGAACTTATCGCAGATGTATTAGTTTGGAGAACTGTTCTAGACCTGATAGAATATACTTCTCTCGATAATAATTGTGAAATCGTGGGATAACCCTATCAGGAACATCATAGAAATATTGCATAAATGAAATTGCATTTAAGTAACTCGCACCAAGAGAAACGTTTTTTTTTTTTTTTTTAAAATTTGAATTTTATTTTTTTTGAGTCAAAAGAGGGGATTTTTTTTTCAAGATCATTTAAACCCGACAATTGTGTTATACGGGTGTTTTTAGTTCGTGCCCTGGCCCAAAACGTAAAATGAAACTACCAAAATGATTCTTCAGTTCCAAAGATAAACTTTGCACACGAGTATCTTTTTTTCAGTATATTTTAAAGGCAGCATAGTTGTTTACTTGACTGAAATTGTTGTTGATTCTTTATGCTTCTACTTCTGGTATAGATATTAGTTACTTGGTTGAGCTTTACGGAGAATAGTTCAGGTGATTTTTACTGACTCAGTTTACACTTGCATATCATCTACAACTATAAATTTCATTTCTCAAATAGTGAATCGAGTTCATCAAATATTCAGCTCTGCTCAAACGTAGCCTTTATGGATTCTTAACTGCCGGAGAACCTCAACGATCCAGCAGCACTATTCTTAACAATAGCGGAGAAAATTCTTTATTTGTCGTCTGTAAGATCAGAAACATGCGCAGTTTGGCTGTTTTATTATCCGATAAATACACGCGTGTAATATCGTATCTTATAATTGGACGTATGACTCGTGAAAATTGGTATATTTTTCATCAAAAAGTGCTTGTTTCGGAAAGGAGCTTGAAGATTATGCGCGCGGATTCGGGAGGTAACTCCCATAATCATTCTCCTTCGGCTGTAGCAACGTTTCTTGGGTCCTTAAATAATCATATATTCAAGCGATTGTTTACGCTCATTTCCGCTTCAACCGCGTTGCCGTCGGATTGCATACGGAAAATGCCGTAGAATTCAGGTGAGCCTTTGATAAGCCGCATGACAATGTTCTTTTGTTAAAAATTGAAGATATTCTAAATTTCAGTATTTTCCCTTGAATCACACAATCACACAACAAGGAAAGTGATATTCGGAGGCTGATAAATACAACGGAAAGGGTAAGACGTTTGCATATGCAGATCTTCGCTCGCTCAAAGGTTCCTTAGTTTTTTCGCACGAACTTATAGTGCATCCTGGGCATACTATGTATGCTATGCCCTCATTTAAAAGAAAACAATCTTGTAGTTTGTTGAAATTTTCATATTACATTTCGTATTATCGGACACAGGAACAAAAAAGGAAAAGTTGCCATTAAACCACAACATAGAGGATATGCTTAGTAAACGACTCGATACCGATAAGGTATCATCAGATCTGGCTTGATAAGCTGTATATTATCAGGCTAAAAATGACAAAAAGAGTATGAATGTCGTATCCCGTGCTTGACCAGGGATTCCTTTTTTAAACCATCATTCTTTCTGGAAGTATCACGTCTAGATGCGTCGATGATATCTTTTAAGACATCATTTCCTTGCGCTCGAACTATGAATGAAACAAATGTTTACTTTTGCAGACTTGAAAGAAGACTTTAATCCTTCCGGCAAATTAGCTCTGACAGCCGACAGGAAAGCTCCGTATTATGAATAAATGTCGCAATGATTGTTTCTCCCTTAAGTGCGAATAGCGCGTCATTGAGAACACCGCCATTTTTGAATACCTAGAAGAATCTTTTCAATACTTTTCGTTAAAAAAGCTGCAAGCAGGCAAGAAATTTCCAAAGTTTTTGACAAGCATCCTCAAGAACGAAAATACTATTTGCAAATGGAAGATTTTTTATAATCTGTGAAAGATTTATACAAGTAAAAGTCTTGTTTTAAAATCTCATACTTTCTGAAAGTATCATGTCTAGATGCGACAAGTTTGCCGACTCACCTTGTCATCCACGGTTTTCAACGAATGAGCATATTCTCAGGGATTAC